TGAACAAGCAAAAGATGACGATGATTAGTGCTGGAGATGCTCAAAGCCTATTGAATCATTTTAAGCAGAAACATACAGAAGATCCCATGTTCTTTTTCACAGTTCAAGTAGATCAAGAAAATCGCATGACTAATTTTTTCTGGAGAGATGGGAGATCAAGGGTTGATTATGATTGCTTTGGAGATGTAGTTGTTTTTGATACCACCTATCGTACCAATAAGTATAATTTGATTTGTGCTCCATTTGTTGGTGTTAACCACCATTGGCAAAATGTGATGTTTGGTTGTGCTTTCCTTTTGGATGAAACCACTGATTCATTTATATGGTTGTTTAAATCATTTTTAGAATCAATGGGGAATCGGTCTCCAGTTACAATTTTTACTGACCAAGATCAAGCCATGTCTAATGCTATTCAGGTAGTGTTTCCAAATACACATCATCGACTATGTTTGTGGCATATTTCCAAAAATGCTCCTTCTCATTTAGGGGAATTAAATACTAACACAGAGTTCAAGTACCTTTTCAACAAGTGCCAAAAATATTGTGATTCTACACTAGAATTTCAACAAACTTGGGATAAAATGATACAAAAGTCTAAAATTCGACACAAGCAGAGCACTGCATTCACTAAGGATAGTTTCACCGCTGAATTTAAAGCTTCCTCAAGGAGTGAAAGTACAAATAATGTTTTGAATAACATAGCAGGTAAGACAACTAGCCTAACTAACTTTGTTATTGAATATAACAATTTAGTCGCAGGTATGCATTCTTCAAAGTTGGATGAAGATTTTCGATGTAAGCAAGGTGCCCCTCAAAAAATAGAAAAAAATAAAAAAAAAGTGGTATTTTGGGTCATGCAGCTCAAGTATACGCCTTTAAGATATTTAAATTATTTGAAAATGAATTTCTCAATAGTCTTGCAATGGTGTGGAAGCAAGTTGATTGTCATGATACAGTTGATGTCTTTGAGTTGAAAGAAGAAAATAGTGAAAGGGTACGTATTGTTCACTTTGATCATCTCACTAACAACATTTCTTGTTCTTGTAAGAAGTTTGAATGATTAGGAGATCTTTGCTGTCATGCATTGAAGGTTTCTAGTATAAAAAAATTGACTGCAATTCCAAGTCAATATATTTTGAAACGTTAGACAAAAGATGCCAAGAAAGGAAACAAGGTACCAATTCCATTGCGAATGGTAAAGAGGCTGAGATCATGTGGCATAATAGTATGATACATATAATTAATACAACTATATACAAGAGTCAAGGGAATAATAGCCTTAAGAACATTTGCCAGAAGATACTTGTAGAACTTGATGAAAAAATTGAAAGGGAGTTTGAAAGGTTGAGATTGGGTACAAATGTGCATGTTAAAGAAGATCAATCCATACAGTGTTGGATCCCCCACGAGCGAGATCGAAAGGTGTACGAAACACTAGACTTAAAGGACATTTTGAAAAGTGCAAGACAAAACCATCCAAGGATGCATCAACTTCGCGTGAGAATCTTTTTATTTTATTTTTTTTTATTCAAGCGTGAGAAACTATTTACTTGCTCAATAAATGTTACATTCTCATCCGTAATAATATTTCTTTAATAAAGTTCTTATGCTTTAAGTTATTTGTGATTTATGCACATACTCAAGAAAATCAAAACAAGTAAAGCAAGGATCATCACATGCCTCACTTGGTGTCACATTTGATACAACAATCTTCCTACCACCAAATGGGTCCCCTTATGTAAGACTAGCAGATGCCAACATACATGGTCAATCTTACCTTCCATGGACTATGCATACTCAGGTATTGAATATTTATATTGATCCACAAAATTAAAATCTCTAGTATTTATACTTAAAATTATGGTCATAATTAATTTAAAGTATGAACTATTTCTATGCATAGGATATGGACTTTGCAAATATTCCATTTACAACTATGTTGCAAAGTGTCGATGTTGTAAACCAATTTAGTCAAGTAAATATTGACACAATTCATTTATTTATTTGGATGCCTTTATTTGTTAATAGTATGATATGCATTTGTTGTTCTCTTAACAAAGGCTTAATTTGTATAATGCTTTTAATATGTTGTTTAGAAAATGATAGTCACACAGAAAAGCTACAAAACTAAGATGGGAGGTGTACATAAGGGTTGAGAGACTTACACAAAGCAATACTTTGAAGGTGTGCTCAAAGAATGATATTTTGGAAGTTTGATCAAGTGCAAAGAAAGAATTTCAAACAATGTTTCTAGGGAAAGGCAAAATTTTAATTGAAGTGGTGTTTTTTTTTTTTTTCCCCCTGCATTTATGTAATGAAGCTTTATGTATGTACAATGGTTTTTTTTATTTCCTTAAAAGATTATAGATGAAAAGACTAGTTGAATTTTATTACTTCATTATTGGTTGTAGTAGTGAACTTTTTGATAAAATTGTTTTAGATATATATAGTTAACAAATTGAGATGACATTCATTAATAATTAAAAAAAAAAAAAAGTTAATAAAGTGAAATGTAACTCAATAAACTGACATGATAGGCTTTACATCAGTTTGTAAAGAAAAGTTTTAATTTTTAACATGATAGGTTTTGCTTGAATTTGATATAAATTCCATATCTCATTTGCATGATGCATGATGACTATTCCTTTAATTTTGACAGGAAACTTTGTTGCCATTGCTGCATAAGAGATTACAAGGAAAGGGATGCCATTGCTACCAAAAATGTATATAAAAGGGATGTTTAAATGTAATGGAAGCTTTTGTGGGAAGTCTACTTGTTAAAAGGGATAGATGTGTTTGGTGTTGTATGTTTTTGTTAGATTAACAAATTTTCAGTGGATTGACTACTGAGTTTTTTTTCACAAGCTTAATGTTATTGTAATTGGAAAGGAGTCTCTCTATTCTGTAATTGAGAAAATCTCTTCATGTTTCCATCATTGTTGTAAATAAGAAAATTTGTCCTATAATTTTTTTTAACAAATACTGTAAATACATAATAAAAAATTTAGCCTTTGTTTTGCAACAGTGTTCAAGTAAGTTTATTTGTTAAAAAAATTTAACATGTTTGGAGCTTTGGAATTTGACCGAATTTAATAAATTTTACATTTAAAAATATAATTTGATTTGTTTGAAGTGAATTGAATTTAAAATACCAGATCTGGAGGAATTTTAAAAGAAAAAAACAGAATCTCTGCAATTCCTTTTGAATACCTTATCTTTTTTCATTTTGAAATCTCACATCTAAAATGATTTGGTTCCAAACATTGTTAAAGAAAAGAAAAGTGGATGTGAAATAAAATTTATCGTATTATTCAAACGCAATACAGAGTTGAGAATTACAATGGTCTTTTTTCTTCATTGCATCTTTATGTCTACAAACCCACCAAAGGTCCCTGGCCATCAGTATAAAATGTAATCCATAAAATACAACCGGAACAGTCCTCATAAATGATAGTGTATCGAACCTTTTCTTAGCGGCAAACACCGATGGTATTGTAGCGGTGGTGATAATAGGTTGTGTAGTCCGAGAAGTTGAGGATCTTGGGGCACGGTTATGGTAGTGGTTTCTGCAAACACGGTTATGGTGCCGCTAGCCATGAACAATTGTAGAAACAAAAAGTGATAAAGAAAAAGTGAGCATGAACAATTGTAAAGAGAGAAAGAGAGTTGGGAGATGATCATAGTTTCATTGGTTGCCTTTTGATGGCAAAATTTCAATTTTTGATTTTTGAAATCTGAAGGGGCAATTTGAAACATTAGAAAATGGTTTCTAGTGTTAAAAGTTAACGTCCGTTAATGAAGTTTGAGACTTTAAGATGGAATGCTGACAAGGCAGTTAAACTGCCAAAATGCTTGAATGACACATTAAGATTGGCTGGGAGCACCACCTCATGATGATGCCCTGGAGTTCCCAAACTACTGAATAGTCTCACGTGCTGTCTATATATATATAACAATGGAAGCATTAATTTGAACATATCTTTCAAATTAATGGTTCAGATCTGTCTAGATTTAAAAACAATGGCTCAGATTTACTTTCACAAATATCTCTCTCACAAACTATCTTCAATGGTCTAGATTTGTCTAGAAATAAAATTCAATGGTCCAGATATCTTTACTTATGAACTCTTGCCAACCCACCCACTGCACTTTACCTATCACTATGAAAGAAGCTTACAATCGAAGGAGAGGAAGTGAATCACCATCGAAGGAAGAACAAAGCTCCAAAAAGCTCTTTGCATTCCTGAAGGAAGAACAAAGCTCCACAAAACTCTTTGCATTCCTTTTTATTTTTTCTCTACCATCACCAGGTAAGGCACTCTTATCTCCTCACTTTCTTTTTGTTGTTCCATTCATTTATTTTAACCCTGTTTTTTTTTTTTTTCAGTTCATAGCTCTATTTTTTTACCTCTGTTTCTGGATATGGGTTCATAGCTCTGTATTTTTTTTTTTTCAGTTCATAGCTCTGTTTTTTTCCCTTTTTTTCAATTCATAGCTCTGGGTTTTATATCCCAGACATGCATCATGTTAAAGAAGTGATGAATATAAAAAATGAAAGAATGAATGAATTTCCCATGTAGGATTTTCCTCAAAAACATCAGTTAACAAATCCATACAAGGCTAATGTTAACATTAAGAATTTGAAGCCAAAAAAAAAAATTATGTGTTGTGTTTTGTTCTTTGTTCTTAGTTCTTTTTTTGGTTTTATTTTTTCAATTAAATGAGTGCATCATATAATATGCCAAACAATAAAGAAGTGCACTATTGAGAGCTAATGTTAAAGAAGTGATATTGGGACGAAGTGGACTATAAAGAAGTGAAGTAATTAATATCAAAAATGAAAGAACGAATGAATTTCCCATGTAGGATTTTCCTCTAAAACATCAGTTAATGTTAACATTAAGAATCTAAATAAAATTATTAATAATAAATTATGTGTTGTGTTTTGTTCTTTGTTCTTAGTTCTTTTTTTGGTTTTATTTTTTCAATTAAATGAGTGCATCATATAATATGCCAAACAATAAAGAAGTGGACTATTGAGAGCTAATGTTAAAGAAGTGATATTAGGACGAAGTGGACTATAAAGAAGTGAAGTAACGAATATCAAAAATGAAAGAATGAATGAATTTCCCATGTAGGATTTTCCTCAAAAACATTTATGTGTTGTGTTTTGTTCTTTGTTCTTTTTTTGGTTTTATTTTTTAAATTAAATGAGTTAATGTTAATGTTAATGTATATATGGTATATATTCCTACATATATTAGGTATTGATTTCCTATATATATTAAGTATAGCCATAGTTAAGTCTCTTATACAATACTCTTTCTCATAGTTAGATTTCTAGTAGGATACTCTTTCTCAGCCTATATATACAGGCCTTCTATTGTATTCAACACAATACATTCAATACAATACATATTATTTCCGTTCTCTACTATTCTTACATGGTATCAGAGCTATAGGTTAAGCTCTTGGTGTTTTTTGCCTTACCGGCGAGTGAGAGCCATGCCTTGGCCGCCGGTCGGACCTCAACCTATTCCGCTATCATATTTTCCTGTTAGTATCGCTTTGTGGTGATCTCTTCCTCTATCCGCTAGTTTATTCCTACCCCAAATATCTCTATCATATTGTTTTTATTTTTTTTACTCGTAATACATTTTTTTTCCCCTTCACTCCATTTTTCCCGCTGCTTCAACCTTAAATTGGTTTCTATCTTCAAACCTATTTAAGTTTGAGGGGGGGTATTATACCTATATCATAGTGAGCATGGTTATACACCATGCAAACCACCCAAATTGCCTCCTTGGTGCATACTCTAAGCCACCATCTTGGTGCACGTCCTTAAGTCATCTCCTTTGGCACACCACTTAAGCCACCCTCCCTAGTCCATAACCTAAGCCGCTCCTTGCGCACCATCCAAGCCGCCCCCTGGTGCACTCAGTCATCTATTGTCATCATCAGTCAGCACCAAGTCATAAGTTATGTGTGTGTCACGCTTGCTGGTTTAACATCCAATCTCTACAATGGTCCGACATGACCCCGTAAACTGTCCCGACATTGATTCTGGTTAGCTCCTACATTGGTCCGACATGACCCTTTAAAATGTCCCGACATTGATTCCGGTTAGCTCCTATATTGATCCGGTATGACCCCTTTAAACTGCCCCAACATTGATTCTGATTAGCTCCTACATCGATCCGACATGACCCCTTTAAACTGTCCCTACATTGATTTCGATTAGCTCCTACATCGGTTCGACATGACCCCGTAAACTGTCCCGACATTGATTCCGGTTAGCTCTTACATCAGTCCGGCATGACCCCTTTAAATTGTCCTAGCATTAGTTCCAACCAGTTCCTACAATGGTCCGACACGACCATAAACTGTCTCTCGGCATTAGTTCCAGCCAGTTTCTAGATCGATCTGGCACGACCTTAAATTGTCCTAGCATTAGTTTCAGCCAGCTCCTACAATGGTCCGACACGACCATAAACTGTCTCCCGATTTTAGTTTCGGCCTTTGATCTATTTCAAGCGCCCTTGCGCTCCCGTTCAGATTTTGCAATCTATTTGCCTTTTATTTTATTTAGTTTTATTTCATGTTTTAGTTTCTCTCTCCAAACTCAAGATGTTTACCCTTCTTGAGTTTGAGGGGGGATGTTAATGTATATATGGTATATATTCCTATATATATTAGGTATTGCCATAGTTAGATCTCTTATAGAATACTCTTTCTTATAATTAGATTTCTAGTATGATACTTTTTCTCAACCTATATATACAGGCCTTCTATTGTATTCAACACAATGCATTCAATACAATACATATTATTTCCTTTCTCTCTACTATTCTAACAGTTAACATTAATTGGGTTGAGATTTTCTTTATTAATTGGGATGGGACATGTGTCCAAGCTGGCATACTTAGATAAAGGGCTGATAAATATTGTACTAGAAATCAACGATTGAGATCACATCTACCTTTTCTTTGGTTTCTTCTTTTATTTTTATTTTTATTTTTTTAATTTTATATTTTGTGTCATTCTCTATTCTGTCTCACCCTCCTCTTCTCAAATTACAAATTTCAAACACCCCAACCCCTCACCCACATCTCTCTCTTGACATCTTCCTCACAAACCATCGCTCTTTTTGTGTCTCCACCATGGGTTTGTGAGCAAAGAGCGCCTCCAGTCGACTTCGTCCAAGAATATCCTACCAAAGCTCAAGTTTGTTTTTATTCTATCTAAATCTCTTATTGATTTGAAAACCCTAAATCTAAACTTCATTTATAGTTGGATTTCGATTATGTCTCTAATATATATTCATATTCTGTCTAAATCTCATTTATAGACATTGTCTGTAAACTTCATTTACAAATATTACTCATATTCTGTCTAAATCTCTCTTTGATTTGAAGGCCTTTGATTTTGTGAACAGGTGTAATGTTTTGATGGTGATTTCTCTCTCAATCTGTCTAAGTTATATTCTGTCTAAGTTTTATTAGTGGTTGGAGCACAATGTCTTCTCTCTCAATTTCCCTTTCTCTCTATTACATATGGAGCATGAGAGGGAGATTAATGATATGGAATTTGTGCCGGACAGATTTGGGCCGAACAGGTGTTGGGCCAAGTTGTGTGGCCCGGCCTTGAAGGAAGCTGCTCGGTTAAGGCAGCGCGTTGATTGACCG